GCGCTTATAACCTTGAAAAATTAAAGCGTGTTATCAAATCGGCTAGTTCACAGTGAAAGCAGGTAGGCGCCGCCAACCAGCGTTCATCGGCGTTCTCGCTTTTACCGGAACGAAAATTTATTTATTTCTGCTTTTGCACGCGCCGACGGCGCACGGAGGATATTAAGAACTAAAAGTTGGCCAAAATTATGTTTTATGATTTTTTTGCTTTTTTGCTAGTAATATTAATTATTAGAGGAAAGGGTGCTAATATGGAACCCCATTTTGTTTTTCCTACACAATATTTTTTCCTCTACTCTGAAACCCTTTCCACCGATCAAATAGGGCCATTCTGTGCAAAGCCAAGCAATTGGATAAGGATGCTACAACAAGAAAGTAATTTGTAAATTATAGACGATTCATAATTTTACATATAAAATGACAGCTATCTTCATTTCATAGCCATCGCTGACGTTTTTTTTTCGATCATATTGTATAATAACGAAGGAACCGTACCTTCACAATTAAAAATAAAAACAGATAAATATTCCCATGAATATACTCGTAGCTTAAAATACTTTAAAAATCAATTAAAATTCCAGAAATACTTGTTTTGTTAACAAAATGGATTCTTTTGTTTAATAACGGATTCTACAAAACAATACAGCAAAACGCAGAATTCTAAATGGAACGTGTAGCAGGCGGGTTAAGTGTAGTGTAAACAGAGAGGGAATCAGATTAAATATATGGACAACTGATCTGTTTGCTGTGTAAACGGCTGGGTGTTAACCGCATGCACTGGAATGATAATGCCGTTGTTACGTTAAATTTTTGGCTAACAATGTAAATGGCAAATCGAAAAATATTTAAAAAAATAATGACTTCCCTGTACAAATACACACACCGGAAAAGTCTAGGGATATTACAATTTTATCCAGCCATCGTCAGTAATTTTATTATTTGCATTGCTAATATAATAAAATTAAAATAAACAAATAGTTTACAGGACGTATTGGAAATAAAAATGCGAAATTTACCGAATTTTTCAAATTTACCTTGATTTTTATTGAACTCAAAAAAATACACACATTTTTTTTATTCTAAACTGTGAATTAAAAGAAAAAAAGATAAAACCATTTTTACTTAATAAAGGGTATGGCCTCCTCTACTGTTCCCTACATCGTCTCTCCATGTTCCTGATCAGGTTGTCAATCTCTTCTTGAGGTACAGCCTGCCACGCTGCATTCACGGCCCGAACCAGATCCCTACGAGTTTCACGAGGCATACCCATTCTCAAAATTCTTCTTTGGACCGCGTCCCATACGTGCTCGATGGGGTTGAGGTCAGGAGATTGTGCCGGCCAGGATAAGATATTTAATTGATGAGCATTGATAAACTCACTTACCACTCTGGCTGTATGAGGCCGTGCATTGTCATGCATGAGAATGAAGTTTCTCCCAAAATCATTGGCATATGGTAACACGACAATCTCAAGAATTAAATCACTATATGTGATTCCTGTTAGAAACCTTTCAAGAAAAACGACATCGGTTTTTCGGCCTAACTGGACTCCTCCCCAGACCATAACTGTTCCACCTTGATAAGAGAAGGAATAAGCACTTCCTGAAAATGATCCAACCGAATAAAATTTCCCGGTTCTCTCCATACCCTAAGCCTTCTCGAATCCGGATGAATTTCAAAGCGTGACTCATCCGTGAAGAGAACATTGGCCCATTGTTCATTCGACCACTGAACATGATCTTGAGCCCACAAATATCGTACCACTCGATTTCCTCTCGTTAAGGGTTGAGCTCTCCAGGGGCGTCTGCTTCTTAAGTTGCCCTCTCTTAATCTATTGCGAACAGTATCAGGACTAACGGTTCATTATGTGTTTCCTGGAGAATTAAAATAAGCTCTCCTGCTGTAAGAGTCGGTCGGCGTCGAGCATTTAATTGTAAAAAATGATCTTGCTGAGGGGTAGTAATGCGATGTCACCATATGTGCCTTTCAGCAACATCACCACTTTCACGGTAGCGTGCACTTAATCGCGATATTACACTTTGCGTTGTATTTAATGCTCTAGCTACGTCGATTTGGCGCATTCCAGCTTCGAGCATACCCATGGCCCTTAGCATTTCGTCTCTGTTAAGATGTCTACGCTCCATAATGTCGTTTAATACTAAACAGAGTTATTTGAATGAATTCTGGCCAGTTATCATAAAAACATAGCCAGTACAGGTTAAATTCGAACAATTGATGCTAGGCGCTTGTTATACATTTGACAAAAAATGCACAAACACTTCTGCAAATATCCCAAATTTAGAAATAACTAGTGTGACTACTTCGTTTCAATCGAAGTAGAAAGAATCGGCCTACAAATATGTGGTTGTTTATTCAAAACATTTATTTTTAACTTTAATAAAATGATATCCCTAGATTTTTCCGGTGTGTGTAGTTTATTACCAGAATATTATTTTTTTTTGTTTTTTATTCACTATCTTCAGTCTCACGTTCGCAGAAGTCAATATTTTTTTACAAATATAAAAATCTCGATGTGAAGAAGAAACTGAAAAAAAACAACTAGAAACAAATTCCTCCACAAATCTTTTAATATACTAGACAAATAGTATCTACAGAAAATACCCTTCGTTTATTTATGCTTCAAAATAAAATATCAAGTATAGTCGTATAAGAAAGAGACACATAATCCTCTGTCCTACTTTGTTTATCACAAAAGGTTTAATGAAGAACATAACTTGTACTTTCATGCCCCAATTTCAGACTTTTGTATAAAATGTGGACCTCGTTAAAGAAAGGCCAACACTACTATCCAAAAATATGGAGAAATAGAAGAAAAAAGGAGAATTTCGTTATTCGTTTTGATCTACTAAAAATTCCTCTTGATCCCGTAGAGACTACTGAAGTCAGATAGTTTATAGTCTATAAAATGAATAACTTTTAATTTTGACCGTTATTTTTTACGAACATGGTAAATATAAAATCCCTCCGTCAAAAAAGTTACTGATATTCTTTTAATTGAGTGCCTGACGAATCAGATAGGTAACTCTTTTTACTTTCGTGAAATAGAAAAGGAAAATAATAAAACAAGTGACAGTTCTTCCTCTTCTTGCAAAAATCAACACGAAATGTCATAATTGTCAAAAGTAAAATGTCATCAGCTTTTGACATTTCTAAATATCAGACCAATGCCGTCTCTAATAGAACAGCCTCGGAGCGAAATTTATGACGTCACGCTAGTTAGATATCTCGTACTTTTGGTTTGTATTTTAAAAATAATAATAATAATAATATTTATATGTAATAATTTACATATAAAATTACAGCGATCTTTATTTCATAGCCATCGCTGACGCCTTTTTTCTGTGATATTGTATTATCTGCAAATATAATTTTTCGAACATTGATACTTGCAAAATATACATATAAATTTTGTGAATGCAAATAATAACACATCATTATTAGTAGATATTGAATGTTTTTTGTTAAATTTGATCGATTTTCAAACCCCAAAATTTAAAATATATTTTACATTTTACCCATTATCTTATATACATATTCATGATTTGTATATTGTAAAACATTTCCTGCATTTGTATGGTTCATAGTTAATTTGCCAAAGTATTTATTACTACTTACTTATTACTACTTAGTACTTATTACTATTACTCTTACTATAAATAGGTATATATATATATATATATATATATATATATATATATATATATATATATATATATATATATATATATATATAGTATTCATTGGAATTCAGTGTTGTAAAATCCATTAAATGTGTAAAATTGTGACGACTTTATTGATATGTTTGTGTTATGTGTGTGGAAACCAATTTGGATATATTTTCTTCGCTAAGATTTCAGAAAGAAAATGATAAGTTGTAATAAGTAAACAATCTACGTTCAAGTAATAAATTTTGATAAAGACCCTACCAGGTCGAAACGTCATGAAATATTTAATATAAAAAAAACCGTTTTTCTCATTTTTACCTGACCTAAAGCCAAGAAAAAATTAAATAAAATATATATTGAGAGGTCAAAGAAAAGAATAAAAAAAAACATATTGTATTTATTAACTGTATATTATGTATATTTCATGTAGACTATAGCATTTTTAAAATACAAACCAAAAATACGAAGAAGAATTGTGTTTTCCATGTTTTCTACAACATATTTATTAATCCGTAGTATCTAACTAGCGTGACGTCGTAAATCTCGCTCCGAGGCTGTTCTATTTGAGACGGCATTGCGTCAGCATGGCCCTTTGAATAAGAAGACTAAGGAAGGAGCATATCAAAAATCTTAGGTACACCGCGATGGGCCTCAAATATGGCCGACTTAAATTCCGGTTTATCAGTGCCGTTCTAATTTTATTTAAAAAATGTAAAACTATGATGTAGTGTAGACGTGGGGTAGACTCAATAACTTGTTATTTTATTTTACGTTGTGCATAAATGTTGGTAGTTATTAAAATTGTTATAAAAATATATAATTCTAATAAAAATAGATAAGTTATAATAAGTATTTATTAACACAAATATTCGATACGCTACTGAAGCAGGTAAGTCAAATTAACGTATCAAAATTCTTTGACATCTGATCTTTGACAAGTAGTAAATAAAAGCTAAAATGCAAGAAAATATATAATTTAGTTAATTTATATATTATAACGATTACCGAGACATGGGGGTGACGATTTCTAGTATTATCAGTAAGAAAACTTAAATATTCCGCAGATAACACGCTTAAAACGTAACCAGAGGAAAACATCTTAATTCATAATATATGGAAACTAATATTTAACTAAAAAAGAAATTGCCAAGCAATATAAAATTTCGATAGCACAACAAACTGTAATAATCAGAAAACAAACCTTCAAGAATGTTCTCAAGAGGACATGATCCAGTGCACGAAAAATGTACTGGAGCAAAAAAGTCTTGTCGTTGTCTTATGATAGAAAAATATAGAAGAGATTATGCAAGTTACCTCTTTGTGGTACGGGATTTCGGGCACTTTCTAGTTCTAGTTCAACTTCATCGTAATAGATATCAGGTAGTACCGCTATACACCTCAGTACCAATCTTCCATTATCAAAATGAATGTCACTCAGGAGTAGGTCCAGGGATAGGTCACTCCATGATTTTTCTTGTGTTTTTCTGAATGGAAAGGGATCATTCTGGGCAACCTGGAAAAAGTAAAAAAATAATTGCTTTATTTTAATATATTTCAGCTTGGAGTAAAACCCAGTTGTAACTGTAGTAGTTTTTAATGTGAATTGCATGTTTAATTACTCATCTTATTGATTACAACGTATTAAGTAAATACCTAAAAAGTGGGCAGTGACTTATTGATTGATATGATGATTTAGAGGGACCATGCATCATCAGAGGACTTCCCCAGGTAAAGTTTTTCGAATACGAATCATTTCTAGATAAATTGTGTACTCGTATAGTCAAAAAGTAAAGCAACCTGTTACAGAGATTTCATTTTGTTTTATTTTTATAGGATTGGTAGAAAAACAAAATTTTACCATACAGAGTAAAATATATAAGACAAAATATCCTGAGGTCGTTTTGATAAAAATTTACTGTTGCAATAGCCCTATGTAATAGGTACCGTATGATCGAAAAAAACGGCGTCCAGTTGGCTTGAAAATGACGATCGATGATATTTCCCATATAATTTTACATATAAAATGACAGCGATCTTCATTTCATAGCCATCGCTGACGCCGTTTTTATTCGATCATACGGTATAATACTGCGAATTATATTACATAAGGCTTAAGGCAACTGCTAAAAATTTAGAAATATCTTAAATACAAAAATCTGCGCTTTTTAAGTCTGTAGGTATCTAAAATACTAAACACACTTTGAAACTTGGACTAACGTTTTGCTAACCATGCTACCATAATTAGCAAATTATTTTATCTACCAAGAGAAGATATACCGGGTTCCGAAAGAAAACGCAAGGTGCAAGACATATCTAATATATTTCCTGAAAGGGACGTGAAACGAGCACCTCCGTATCGGACGCGAGCAAATACACAAATGAATTGATTATTGATAAGGTCACAAAAAAGAAATTTCTAAAATGTTTATCGTAATTCAGAATTCAATATATCGAAAACAGCCCGACGAATAATCAATTCATTTTTGTTTTGTTTGTTTCCTTTCATGTTTCTCTGTTTTATTTTTAAAATTTAATACGAATTTGATTGCTTCGAATTTGAAATTGTTGAAACTACGGCAACGTTGCTTAACACTGTATGACGCAAGCCCGCCACGACGGCGCGGCGCCTCAAAGGAGCAGTTGACTGCGGCACTCTTGGCAGAAGACGGTTCGACTGTCGATGAAATTTTCGAAATACATCGAAAAAATAGCGAAAAAACAAAATACGTATTTAAAATTGTTGAGTAAAACATGTATTTTCTTAGATTGAAAATAGTTCGTAATGTGGCGATAAGAGACAATAATTCTCAACATTTATTCATTCAGAAAGGTATTCAAAGTAATGTGCGCTTTTCAAGGTGTTTTGTAAATCAGTGGTTCAAATAAAACAAAGAAACATGAAAAAAAAAATTAATCGATTATTCGTTGGGCTGTTTTCGATATATTGAATTCTAAATTACGATAAACATTTTAGGAATTTCTTTTTTGTGACCTGATTGTCAATAATATGAAGAATTATTTTATTAAATGGAGCATAACAAAGATTTTCGTAAACGTCATAAACGTAATGTTTTAGACAGATCTTCCACCCTTTAAAATATTTGCGCTTATTTCTGGGACACCCTGTATATGTACTCGATTGGTATTGTTACTAAGCGTAACTAAAGCATACCGCGCACTTATGCGCAGCGCGGCGCGGCGAAGCGCGGCGAAAAACCGTGCAACGGATTAAATTTGTGTTATATAATGCACGTCCGCTGACTCAAGCGAAGCAACCGCTTGCACCGCGCGCCGAAGCGCCGTTCGTTGCAGACCTGGAATCCAAAGCGAGGAAATTCTCTTCGGCGCGCTTCGCGTGCCCTAGTGCGCGGTGGTCTGGGAAACTATCTCTGTTTTCGGTCATTTTCGAAATCTATTTCGGGTGTCTTCGGATGAAGGATTCTACGATTAATGTATTACTAATTGGCATTTAGGTTACGTTTAATCAAGAGCCGTTTTGTTTCGTTTGAGTTTGTTTAGTACTTGTAATTTAATTATTGTTTTATCATGGATGATGAAACGTTCATTTTAATTATACAAAGTTATAAAGAGATATATGATATTGGAGATCCCAATTATCATAATCAATTGAGAAGGGACAATATTTGGGAAGAAATTGAAGAAAAATGCGGAAGAAATTGAAGAAAAATTATAACAGCTTTTCTCTCAATGAACCACCTCGAAGTTATAACAGCTTTTCGCCCGATGAACCCGGACAAAAGTAATTTTTATTTATGTATTGCTATTTGTACATCACATATAAAATAAAGTATTTTCTACCAATGTACAGACTACTTAATTTAGAATAATGAAAAAAATCTATCCATTTAAAAAGCATGCATTACATAAAATAATATAAATTATTCTCTATTAATTTTATTTAGACAATATTAAAAACTTGCCTGAGACAAACTGAAAGTCTTTCGATAACGTCAATTGAGCAGCGAAATCTAGAATTTTGACGCTCTATACTTGGTCTTAACAAAGAAAGAAGTTCACTAAATTTTTTCGTGGGTCATTCTATAATACTTGAAAAATTTTCTTTCGTCTTCAGAAGATCTGAGTGAAGGTGATGGAATTCTCCGTACGTATTTCTTTTTATATTTATATTATGAATCCAAGATTTTCTTTTTTTTGTTCTCACGCATTTCTTCTTCCTCAGCTATTGTACATAAAGTAAGAAAATCTCCCTCTGAACTGCTGCTAGAACTTGAGCACATAATGAAATTTTAACACACCTTTATCAAACCGTCATAGAGATAACACTAAAATTAAAACGGTCAGCTCAAAACAACTTTAAATACCAACCGCGTACGCAAAACCGTGCATAAGTTAGCGGACCCATCAAAAATTCGCCGCGCTGCGCCGCGCCGCGCTTCGCATAAGTGCGCGATATGCTTAATTCAGTTAACCGAAACAAAACTAATGAAGAGTACATTAAAATACCGTAAGTAGAGCAATAGGAATAGTAAACTAGACAGAATAAAACCATTATCCCCCTTCATGATGTCTCTATATTTTTTATTTACTTTGATATTTTCATAAATATTTATTTTATTTTATTAGATCCATATGCTTTTTGCATTTAGTTACTATTGATCTTCTAGTTTGCCCAACGTATTTCTGATTATAATATTTAGATTATATTTCATAAACTCCCAGTTTTTAAGAGTTTTATCGTATCTTTAGAATTACCTAATACCTTATTGTATATGTCTCTTGGTCGCTCTTGAAAGATCAAGTGGATAACAATTTGTCGAACTTTAAACCTATAAGTAGTTTCCTATTTTTTTATTTCCTTTGTAACTTTTTTTTTCCTATGTATTTCTTTTTCTATTTTTTATTTCTTTGTCTATTTCTTTTTGCTTAATAACTAGTACAAGAGAAAATCAGATTATTTACCATTAAATCGTTTAATTTAAACTGAAGAGTAACTGGCGGTCTAGATGGTGGACTTGAGCAATTGGCACGGAGAACATCTCCGCTATCCAATACATTCCTTCCAACGCTGATTTGTGGAGAAAATTCGGGAAGTTCTGAAACAAAAAAGATTAAGAATTAAATTAAATAACAAAGTGTTTAATAGATTATTGGAAATAATCTAATAGATATTTAGTTTTTTAACTTGGAAGAAAGTCAGACATACGGCAGATTAAAAATTACCTTTTTTAATTTCCTCGAGGTGATTTCCGTTTAAAATAGTTTTTTTTTTAGATTATTACGTTATAGCACATTACCTTGTTCCCACTGGTGGGGAACGACAAAATATTCAATGCGTTTCTTTTTTATTACCGACACAATCTTAAATAAGGGCGCAGTTAAAGTGGATTTAACTGCGCCCCTAGGGCTGTGGAACGTGACTTATAAAATTTTGTATAACAATTCTTGTGATATCTGACACCTGCACAAAAAAATTGTGAATTGCATATTTTGGAAATTGCATATTATTTGCAAAAAACTGATTTTTCAGCAATTTGGGACAATTTTTTTGACCAAAGCTGGCCGAGCAAGGAATTTCTTTTACAATTTTTCCCTAAAACTACTCTTCAAAAGGTACACAAAAGAACACCGCTTAAAAAGTCCCGGTCGACTAAATAGGCCGTGGTTTCAAGCTTTATTTACTGGACTAAGTGATGCATCTTGTCGAAACTACAACGACAAGCATGCTTAGCGGTGACTAGTGCCTTCCATTCCACGCCGTCAAAAGCTATGGAAACCCTACTCGACCTACCTCCTCTTCAAATTCTTTTGGAAAGAGAGGCGAGATGGGCTACATATAGGTTTCTAAATATAGCACAGGAAGCCAAGGAACAATCATGTTCATACAAAACCGGCTAGCAGAAGAACTACAGTCGGATGAATTCTGGCAATGGTCTGGTTTGGTTTGGTGCGCACCTACAACGTCCTGTTTCCGAATAGGGACGAGTGGGATAAGCCGGGAAACGGTTTATTACATGCGGAAATGTGTTGGTACACGGACGGATCCAAAAACGAAAAAGGATCTAGCGCAGGAATTTACTGCAGCAGTCCAAAGACTGAGGTCTAACACAGTCTTGGAAAACACACCACGATTTTCCAAGCTGAGCTATATGCTATTGAGACCTGTGTGCAACTGCTGGTAGAACAGCAATACACCGGGAAAACAATATGCATATTTTCGGATAGTCAAGCCGCGCTGAAAGCACTTGAGGCAACGAAAAGCACGTCTATGACTATTCTTCATTGTAAGAAACTACTCAATATACTGGGAGATAGGAACAAAGTGTCGCTAATATGGATACCGGGACATGTCGGCCTAGAGGGAAATGAACGTACTGATTCCCTCGCCAAAATTGGTGCAGGCTCGCCATTCGTGGGCCCAGAACCGACACTTAGCGTTCCTAAAAATCTCGCAAGAGACAGGCTCTGTGAATAGGTTAGGGGTGCGACTTTCCGGGACTGGAATGACAGTCTCGGAATGGAACATGCCAAGAAAATCCTAGCAGGGGCATCCAAACATAGAACAGGAGAACTCCTAAAGGCCGGTAGGAATGGAGCGCGTACGCTCACTGCAGTGTACACGGGCCACTGCCGGCTGAGATCTCACCTACAGAGGATGGGACTGGTGGAAGACGCCGAATGCCGACTCTGTATGGAAGATGACGAAACAGTGAAGCACGTTATGTGTACCTGCCCCGCTGGGGGCAGGACCAGGTTTGAGATGTTTGGCAAACCCATGCTAGACCTATCAAACCTAGGAGACATATCGCCCTCAGACATAACGGCCTATGTTAAAAGGCTGGGTCTTGAGGGTGAACTATGACGCTCTTGTATATTAGAGCTTGTAGAAACTGAGCCACAATAGGCCCTCGCGGCCGCTGTGGAGGGTCCCATGGGGCCCACTCTTGGTCAATACAATATAATACAATACAAGTGATGCATCTGACCGAAACGATTTGCGAATTTTGAAAATTAAAGACAATGACAGTGCAAGAGAATATTTTACTTATTTATTTATTTTATTGTATCACAACAAGAAGCGAGCCTAACTAATAAATCCTTAATGAATTATTAAGGGACATATGCAAATCTGAGACGTAGATGTTTACATCTTGTTCACATCGAAGCGCATTTACGTATTTCCATGTAACATCTTCCCAATATTTCGACATCTATTGAAGGCTATTGGTAATTATATAGCCAATAATCGTATGCAAATAAATATCTGGCGTAACCGAAATACAATGTGCGGACATGAATATTCATGACGGAACTGGCTGTTTGTGATTAATATCCCGTTAAGATTATTAATTCGTCGACAATCCGAACAAATATTGACACGGATGAGAAATAATCGAATGAACGGACTGGCTTGTCTAATCTCGTAATTGAAATAATAAATCTTATGTTTAAATGGAGGATATTGGATTTTGTTTCTAACAGATTATCAGAAGATTGTCATCATTAAATATCCATACCAAAAATACCATATTGTCAGAATCTGATTTTGTATGTCCTAAAACGCTTCGTTTTGGAGATACATGGTGTAGAAGTTTCATTTTTATTTCGATTTTTTCAAAATAGTTTTTGAACTAATGTCGATATTTGGTTGAAAATTGGTGTCTTGGAGTTTTTTGACATGGTAAACTTGATTTTGATGTCAATATGACCCCTACTTATAGAGAGCGCCAACTACATATTTATTAACTGGTTCGAAGAGTAATAATTATAAAAAAAACCTTTTCATCCGTACCTGTATAAAACTACTAAGTAAGATAATATACATTTCGGCCATTTTTTACGTAAAAAGGGACTCTTTGCTAAAAATGGCTGCTTATAATGGTTTTCCAGATATTTGAAATCGAAATAATCAATACATGTCATCATTGACGTTAACTAAACATGTTAATTAGATGGTTATTAGACTTTGAAAGGTTTTGTGCTAAAGGAACAGAAACTGTTTTAGTATATTTTTTCCCAAAAATTTATGATTAATTTAAAAAAATAAAAAAATTTTTGTTACAACCTAAACGAAGCTGATTAGGATATACATTTATACCAACTTTTTATTATTTTTATCTTTAGAATATGCTGCCGAAGTTTCCAAAATACAATTTGGACCACTCTGTATTTACCAAGTAGCTTATGAGATGATTATAAAATATTTGTACTAAATTTTCTCCACCTAAAAACCTTTCCTAAACTTCTGAAATTGCAAATTCTTTGTATCTTTTTAACTGGATATAATTTAAAATTGTGTCCTTTTTGAAAAATATATTGTTTTAAGTATTTGAAATGGAAGATCCTGCTTTTTATAATACAAAAAACCGGAATTCTTATCAATTTTGTCACGTGTTGTAGAATAAAATTGTCTAAGAATTTTTATTAATTTGCAATAATTAAATTTACGATTATTAAGATATTTTCTATATATGATATAGAAACAATACTATGCAGGCGAACTAGCACTGTTGAATGCTACTGTTCAAAATACTGTTATGGTTAACAAATTAAGATTTATGTAGATGTTGATATTATTTAGTAATAATTATTTTGTATTGTTTATACAGAGAAGACCAGGCTATTAGTAACATAGCAAGTTGCCGGACGAATTTACGTTTATCCGTTTTGCGTTCGTACTCGAGAGTCACTGCCGGCTAGTCGGCTGGTCAGGCAGTACGCAGTTGCAGTTGCGCTTGGACGGGTCGGTCGTGACAGACTAGGAATACGACGCGAGTATTGCCGAGTATTTATTATTTTCATTTTAAGTGTTTACCTTCACTTAAGGTAACATTTAAAATGAAAATACTTAAATATTTATTATTTGAGTGTGTTTACAAGCCAAAACTAAAAATAAATAAATTCTCTAAACCCAAAAAAAACTAAAATATTACTCTAAATAAAAAAAGTTATAACAAGTGTTCAAAAAGGCCATCTTCTTGTGCTAGATAGAAGCCTAGGCGGTCGTAAAATCCCCGTCTGACATTGGCTAATATTTTGGAAAGCCTCTCGTATTTTTACTTGAAGCTCATCCAGATTATTAGCCTAATATGACCATACACTTTGGATTTTACATAACCTCACAAAAATAAGTCATTGGGAGAAAGATTTGGTGATCTAGCGATGGTAGAAGGACCATACTAAACACATACTAAAAACTGGAGTAGCTGGAAAATATCTACATCACACGATAGGTAAATAATGGCTTTTAGTACTGCAGCTGCAGAAAAATAATGTCAAAAGGTACTAGTTTAAAAAGATTAAGATTAAAGTTAATTAATCAACCTTTAAGGTATAAAATTTGGTAAGTGTTATTATTAATAAAATAGTTCGTTTTATTTATGTTGTTTTATTTATTCCCGCGGAATATTACAAATTTGTATTTGTACATAAGTTATATTGATAAATATAATCATAAATGCGGGAAGTTTCATAAAGCTTGAAAGTAAGAAATAGATCATTTTTATATTTTTTTGGTATAATCAGGTCTTGTTCTTGTTTGTTTTGTACTAACACATAGGTACCGTTTGTTATTAAATAAAATAACTCGATTACATTTTTTCAGTTTTATACAGTTTTTTTCACAATATTTTGAAGTAATCACTTGTCAGTAGTTGTCAGTCAAATTTTAAATATATTAATTTCCTGCTATGCGTTCCAGTTGTACCAACTTATTTCTTTGTAAAATAAAATAAACTACTTTGTAATTAAAATGACAGACACATCTATCACTGTCAAGGACCTTCTCGTTGGACAGACTAGTTTATTTTAGTATCAAAAAATTGAACAGCGAACTATTATAAAATAATTCTAATCAAAAAACATAATTTGGATTTTTATTATTTTGGATGAACTTTGAATGTGCATGTTATAAATTTCATTTAGTCAGAATCATATTTATCAGTGTTGAGAATCATAACATGTCGTGTTACGATTGTCAATTTACTAATAATACAATAGAAATAGTTTAATCAGTCAAAGGTCGGGCAGCTGTTTCAATCCAGCGCCCACTACACAATCGTTTAGGAAGCGACGACAACCGTGTCCTGCTGATGCT